CAGCACACCAACATGGCACAAGTATACATATGTAACAAACCTGCACGTTATGCACATGTACCCTAGAACTTAAAGTATAATAATAATAATGAAAAAAAAAGCAAGCTTGAAGGCAAAGGAATGGGAAAACTCAAAAGGCAAATGCAAGCAAATAGAAAGAGTAGGATTTACAATATTAAACCAGGTTAATTGCAAGGTAAAATAACCGAAATCTGTCCGGGCGCAGTGGCTCACACCTGTAATCCCAGCACTTTGGGAGGCTGAGGTGGGCGGATCGTGTCAGGAGTTCAAGACCAGCCTGGCCAACATGTTTCGTGAAACCCCGTCTCTACTAAAAATACAAAAATTAGCCGGGCTTGGTGACGCATGCCTGTAATCCCAGCTACTTGGGAGGCTGAGGCAGAAGAATCGCTTGAACCCAGGAGGCAGAGGTTGCAGTGAGCCGAGATTGCACCACTGCACTTCAGCCTGGGCAACAGAGAAAGACTCTGTCTAAAAAAAAAACAAACAAAAAAACCCCCCAAAACCGTGAAATTTAAATAGGGTACAACTAAAATAAAAACCTAACTTGAATTTCTATGTACCAAATAGTAAGTACAGAAAACAAACTTGCAAAACCAAAAAAGTGGAAAGAAAAAGTAAACATAAAAATAAGGAAAAAAATAAAAATATAGTAATAGATTCCAGTTCACTGATTTCAGCCCAAGACAGATCAAGTGGACAAACACATTTAACTTTATCCCCTGAAAACAGAATACATCTTCTTTTCAAATGCCCATAAAATTCATGACAACAACTACATATTAAACCACAAAGAAAACATCAAAAACAATGTACTAAAAAACATTCTCTGATTACAATAAAACTAAATATGAAAATTAAAAATTTTGAAACCCAGTCACCTATACAATTAAAAAAAAACTCAACATATATTAGATTTAAAAAAAAAACCAAAACTGAAATCACAGAATATCAAGCTATAACAATAAAAATAATGCCGATGAGAATCTGCAGCATGCGGGTAACACAATGCAAAGAGGATAATTAGTGGCCTTGAATTTTTTTAAAGAATAAAAAGAAACCAAGTTTTCAATTCAGGAAATTCACAACCGCAGCAGCAAACAACACTAAAGCTAAGTACCAAGCAAGCAGAAATTAGAATTCAGAAAAATGGCATGGACTAACCAGATGAAGAAAAAAAATAATAGAACCAAAAGATACTAAAGTACAAGATACTATTTTCCTTAACTCTATGTAGAACTCTTATGAAATCGATGATTACACAGAAGATCATAAATACTTCCAAAGTGACCTGAGGAGTATCGGAAAATCAAACCAGGCCAGGAACAGTGGTTCACACCTGTAACCTCAGCACTTTGGGAGGCCAAGTTGGGCAGATCACCTGAGGTCCGGAGTTTGAGACCAGCCTGGCCAATATGGTGAAACCTCGTCTCTACTAAAAACACAAAAATTAGCCAGGCGTGGTGGCAGGCGCTTGTAATCCCAGCTATTCTGGAGGCTGAGGCAGCAGAATCACTTGAACCCAGGAGGCGGAGGTTGCAGCGAGCTAAGATTGCACCACTGCAGTCCAGCCAGGGCAACAGAGCACAAGACTCTACCTCAAAAAAAAAAAAAAAAAAAAAGAAAAAAGAAAAAAGAAAAAAAAAGAAAGAAAAGAAAACCAAACCGATACACCGAACGAAGAATGTTGTCTGAG